GGTGAAGACTGACATCTGTTGGTCAACTGGAGCAACTACACGGAAATATTTAAAATCCAAGCTCTTATTTTTGAAGGGAAGATAGTTTCCTCTACTGCATGCTTTCGTTTCCAGTCACAAATCAACTCCGTCATGTACCCAGAATTAATCGCTTCAGTTTCCCAATAAACAGTTTTAAAATTACTTTATTGATGCTTCTTTAATGAAAAATCTACAACAAACAAAAGAAAAAGACAAAGAAGCAGCCAAACTAGCAATCCTCAACAACTTTTTAATTTTTACACCAGGAGCCAAAGGTCTGTTTCAGGAAATCACATCCTCAGCAATCGGCGCTTGTAGAATTAAGTTGTAAAATAGTTCATTCCCAGCGAGTTGGCAGTGTTGTACATATATTGTACATGAATTGTTGCATGCTAGTAAGTGTCAAATTGAACTTGTGCTTTAAAATTAGCTTCCACTAGTTTTTCTATGGCATAAGTGCTTTTGAAGTTGTGGACCTAAATCTTCTCATAAGCGCTTTAAAAATTGCGGAGCTAATTTTAGGATTAGCGCTGCCCACCACTGTTTAAAATCTACAGCTGGTATACATGCACTGTATACAGAGTGTGTCGAAATAATAAAAAATGTCTTCATGTAGAAATACTTCCACTATTCTCCTATGTCTTGTATAGAGAGCTGGAGATGATGAGTTTTTGTCCAACTACAGCAGCTTGTTTAGTAAATATAAGTACATAAAACAGAGTAAAACTACAGGACTCTGCGGTCACCATTGGCCGGTGCAGCTCAGGATCTGTCCATGGTACCGCTGCTTAGTTTCACACACTAAATCAGCTTTCCTTCACCAAGTTCAGGGTCAGCCGGTGAGCATTTATCTTTTATTGGGGAGGTGTTTTAACTGCATCTCTGGAGGGCTGAAGGGAGATATATGTTGCTAAATTAGCTCTGGACTAACACCCTCTCACACACCTCCACTGCTCACAGGAGGGCAGCGAGGGACACAGATACTCCATCCTAAAACTATTCAACAGATGGTTCAAACTTGCAAAAAGTAACAACAAATTATTAATTTTTAAAATCATTATAGGTTGATTTTATCATTTGACACATATGCAGAGTAAATGTGTGACTGGTATAAATGCTGAAGGGCAGCAGCTKTCGTTAATTAGGTTAAAGGGATCCAAGATTTGTTGTGACATTAGACTTTATTTAATAAACATATATTTTAACAGTAAAATAAAGACTGTAAAAATACTGTAGGATGTTCAGTTTTTATCATTTTTAAACTAAAAGTTTCAAAATATATTTTAACACGGACAGAGCCATTTTATTTACACGCAAAGCATTCTGGGTAAATGATGACGTGGATAGGGCCTCGGTGCGAGGCTGCTAGCGAGC